AAGATGTGACGTCATAGTGTGACATCATACTGCAGTCAGGAGGATCTAGCCGCAGACAAAATGGCGGACGTCAGCGGGAGGTAGCTCCGTTAGCCGTTAGCAGCTAACGTCTTTCTTTCAGAAAACAAATAAACAACACAGATTGCTAATGATGGCTAACTGTAGCTAACATATTTATAATAATATATTTATAATATATTTATAATAATATATTTATAATATATTTATAATAATATATGTATAATAATATAATAATAACATATTTATAATAATATAATAATAATATATTTATAATAATATAATAATAATATAATAATAATATATTATAATAATATAATAATAACATATTTATAATAATATAATAATAATATATTTATAATAATATAATAATAATATATTTATAATAATATATTTATAATATAACAATAATATATTATAATAATATAATAATAACATATCTATAATAATATAATGATAATATATTTATAATAATATTTTTATAATAATATAATATTAATATATTTATAATAATATAATAATAATATATTTATAATAATATAATAATAATATATTTATAATAATATATTTATAATAATATAATAATAATATATTTATAATAATATAATAATAATATATTTATAATAATATAATAATAATATATAATAATAATATAATAATAATATATTTATAATAATATATTTATAATAATATATTTATAATAATTTAATAATAATATATTTATAATAATTTAATAATAATATATTTTATAATAATAATATATTTATAATAATATAACAATAATATATTTATAATAATAATATATTTATAATAATAATATATTTATAATAATATAACAGTAATATATTTATAATAATAATATACTAATAATTCTGAAATCATTACGCTAATAAAAAAGTCTTAATCAATAACTTTGTGTTGTTTTTTTCTGGAGCTGATGATGTCAGCAGAGGGAGAAAGTTGCACATGCTCAGTGCAGCCAATCACAGCGTGTTAACATGTTACATCATCTGTGAGCGTGAGAGCACGTCTGTTACCTGCGGCGGTCCCTCATTCATCTGTGTCCCCACTTCCTGTTTCACTCAGTGTCTCAGACAGAGGTCACCTGAGCCAATTAAGAGCTTAATGCTGATTGGCTGATCCAGACACTCTGATTACTACATGAACGCAGCGCGAGGAGCCGTTAATCAGATTTACATCAAACAGATTAAACACACACGAGAGGCAGGCTGAAGTTTACCTGAGACACCTGACACACCTGACACACTGTAACCCTCATTAAACACAACAACAACATGTAAACAACGTGTATTTACTCTTTAAGGTCACTTTCTACTCGTGTTTGACTTTGTAAATGAATCTTTTTACACACAAACAGACGAAAGATGAACAGCTGCAGGCGTTTGTGTTGGCAGGGAAACAAGATGGCCGACGGGTGAGAGAAATGTTTCTGCTGCGAAAACGAATCTCAAACAAAAACAGACTCCTTTAAGAAAAACTCTCATTTTACCTTCAGACGTAAATAAAACAGCAGTTTCAGTCGGAGCAGACCGGCTGTGGAAACAAACCACAGACAGGCTGCGATACAACACAGGTAGAGGGAGAGAGACAGGTAGAGGGAGAGAGACAGGCAGAGGGAGAGAGACAGGCAGAGGGAGAGAGACAGGTAGAGGGAGAGAGACAGGCAGAGGGAGAGAGACAGGTAGAGGGAGAGAGAGAGAGAGGGAGAGAGACAGGTAGAGGGAGAGAGACAGGCAGAGGGAGAGAGACAGGTAGAGGGAGAGAGACAGGTAGAGGGAGAGAGACAGGCAGAGGGAGAGAGACAGGCAGAGGGAGAGAGACAGGTAGAGGGAGAGAGAGAGAGAGGGAGAGAGACAGGTAGAGGGAGAGAGACAGGCAGAGGGAGAGAGACAGGTAGAGGGAGAGAGACAGGTAGAGGGAGAGAGACAGACAGAGGGAGAGAGACAGGCAGAGGGAGAGAGACAGTTAGAGGGAGAGAGAGAGAGAGAGGGAGAGAGACAGGTAGAGGGAGAGAGACAGGCAGAGGGAGAGAGACAGACAGAGGGAGAGAGACAGGCAGAGGGAGAGAGACAGTTAGAGGGAGAGAGAGAGAGAGGGAGAGAGACAGGTAGAGGGAGAGAGACAGGCAGAGGGAGAGAGACAGGTAGAGGGAGAGAGACAGGTAGAGGGAGAGAGACAGGTAGAGGGAGAGAGACAGGCAGAGGGAGAGAGACAGGTAGAGGGAGAGAGACAGGCAGAGGGAGAGAGACAGGTAGAGGGAGAGAGACAGGGACAGGTAGAGGGAGAGAGACAGGCAGAGGGAGAGAGACAGGGACAGGCAGAGGGAGAGAGACAGGCAGAGGGGAGAGAGACAGGTAGAGGGAGAGAGACAGACAGAGGGAGAGAGACAGGTAGAGGGAGAGAGACAGGCAGAGGGAGAGAGACAGGTAGAGGGAGAGAGACAGGTAGAGGGAGAGAGACA